AAGTGGGTGGTGATCCCAGAACTTCCTGTGATGAAGGGACTTCCTGTGTTTACATGTCCAGCATGTAACTGCTGGACCCATGTCACTACTGAGTGCTTGCAAGAGGCTGGTCTACTAAGGAAGTGAATTTCTGAATTATTTAACTAAGCAGCGTGGCTATTGACTTTCATGATGGACAGCACAGAAACATCTGCCTAAAAAGTGCAGTCGAGGTAGAGAAGGCTAGAGATAGAGGTGCAAGGAACAAACGGGCAGAGATTTGCAAAATAAAACAGAATCAGTGAAAACAAGCTTTTAAGGAAGATCGATGAACCTCAAAGGATAAGCCCCTAGGGTGACAATAGTGGTGTCACGTAAACATGCTCTGAAAGGTCTCCTGAGCCCAGATGTTCTCAGTAAACAAGAGGACATTGGCCTTTTTCTCTCAGCTAAGGCTGGAGGCCACAGAGACCATGATGGCAGGAAGCTGTGCCCATGCTGGAGAGTCTCTCTCCTTCCACACGTTCAGCTCCCTGTTGCATGGGCCATTCACGCCTTCTGCAAACTGCAGATGCCCTGGTGGAGCACAGGACACAGCACCAGAAGAATGGGAAAAGACAGTCATAAAAACAGTGATCAAGAAAGCAGAAAAATTGAAATCAAGGTTCAAATTAATTATGTTAAGATGCATTTGAAACAATGCAGGCCAGGTGTGATGGCTGACCCCTGTAATCTTAGCACTCTGGGTGGCAGAGGGAGGTGGATGGCTTGAACTCAGGAGTCAGAGACAAGCAAGAGTGACACCCTGTCCCTACTAAAAACAGAAAAACTAGTTGGGCATTGTGGTGGGCTGAGTCAAAAGAATTGCCCCAAAACTTGAGGTTGCTGTGAGATGTGACACTACAACACTCTACCTAGGGTGACAGAGTGAGACTGTCTCAAAAAAACCTAACAAAACAAACAAAAAAATGCAAAGTCCAAAACAAGTGTATCAATACAAGAATAGAAAACACATTATGATAATGACTTAACAGGCTATATTACTTTCGTGAGAACTGGGAAGTAATGGTGTTAAAGTACAAATTTAAAAATAAGTAAAATACAGTATTTTGTCATTTAGGAACATTAATCAATTATTTTATTGATGGTGTTACTGGGAGATAGTGACTTGTGTTTTAAATATAAACATACACATTAGGAGAATAAAGGTAACTAAAAGGGAAAAGATGAACAAGAAAACATTTGCTTTCACGTTAAAGCTAAAAAAAGGAATGACATTTTTTGTCTTCAAACTTTTTAATTAAAAAGAGAGGCAGAGAAACAAAAACGTCAGATATTGTATTTTTAAATGTGTTACTTCCACTACAAAAAGTACTATCAAGTTTATTCCAAAAAAATGAGTATTTTTAAAACCACATGTGTCAAATTCACATCGATACTGAAAATTTCAACACACAGTAAGGGCCACGATATGCCTGGAAACCGGTCCTGCGTTAATTTCCCGCGGCCGCGGTCACAGGAGCACCGGCTCGGGCTCGGGTTTGTCGCGGGTTCGCGTTGGGGGCACCGCGGGTCACTAGGGCGCGCATCGCAGGTTCCCGCACACCCTTTCCCGACCTGCTCACACTCCCCGCGGTGATTTTCCGACGCTCAGGTGGAGCCCTAACCGCGCTGTGGCCGTGTGAGGTTGGCCTAACCTGAGACGCTGCTCCAGCGGGGAGCGGAGGAAGCTGGGGCCACCTTGACGCACCTCGAGTGAAGGTTCCCCCTGCGGGGACACTGTCTAATTTCCACAAGGTCCAAGGAGGAGCTGACCCAGAGCCCGCAGGGTCCGAGTCAGGACATTAATTTTTTCGCAGGGTCTGGGGTAGGGGACACTGTCGGCGTCCAGCAGTGTCCTTGGAAGACACTGTCTACGTCCCGCAGGGTCCCGGGGTGGGGACACTGTCCACGTTCTGGGGAGGACATTGACCCTCACGATGCTCCGGCCCCTCTGACCTTTGTGGACAGGCCGCCACCCGCGCCCTGACCCTCCTAAGCAGCTGAGAACCCCACCCGCGCCTGGACTACACGCAACACTTAATTTTATTATCCCAGCAGGATAACCCTGAATACCGCGCGCGACCCGGATTTAAAGTAGTTACAGAACTATCGCGAGAGGAAAGACACCGCGTAGTCTCGCGAAAGCGGGGTATCTCGCGAGGAAAAAAGCATCCCGCACTTCCTTCCTGGAGCCCAGCCGCGGGTTCGCGGCTGCTGTGAGGGTGAGCTTTCTGGCACCATGCCGTCTCCGTTTTCCCTGAGCTCCTTCCCAGACAGCATTCCCGCAGTCATCACGGTAATTCGCAGCCTGCGTAGTCCCCACTTGGGGCTATACACACGCAGGAGGTTCTAGGCACGCGCAGGGTTGCCCAGGGGGCCTAGGCTAGAGGCTGGGATGGCTCAGGACTCGGGCTGGGCAGCACACTGGCCGCGCGCTCGCGTGGCGGGGCCGGAGCTGTGCGGTGGGGCTTGCGTGGGCTGGGCTAGGACCGTTGGGGGCGCGGCCTAAGGCCTGTGGGTGGGACGTAGAGGGGGTGGTGCCTGCGCAGAGCTGGTGCTCGAGGGCAGGTTCTGGTGGGCGTGGCTATGCAAAGCGGCTGAAGTGGGCAAAAGTTAGGGCGGAATGAATGGGGCGGAGCTTCGCTTATTGGACGGGGGGTGGTGAGCGAGTTCTGTGCCATATGGAAGTTTTTTGGGTGATGTGCTGAATTCTCGGGGGAGCTGGAGCTGTGGGGGCGGGACTGAAAGAGTGTCCGGAGGCATTTGTACCATGTGAACGGGGCTGAAGAGCTTGGGCCCTGTAGGCGGGGCTACAGAGGGGAGCTCATGCCCTGTGGGCGGGGCGTCAGGGTTTGAGATGGGGCTTGGACCATGTGGGCAGAGTAGGGTGCTGGGCCTGAGTCTACTGGTTGGGTGCTGCAGAGGCTGGTGAACTTGGGGTCTGGAAGTAGGGAGTCCTCTGGGCTGTGCCCTGAGCATCTGTCAGTGGCTTTATGTCTCCAGATGGCTCACCCCTGGGTGCCTGCATCCCTCTATGCTACCAGGGGGTGTGTGGCCCTGCTGGGTGTGGATAGCACTGGTTGTCCATTTGAGCTCTTAGGTCCATGCACTGATGGGCACCAGTGAGCTTGACTCATGTGTCCTGCACAGGCTCTGGAGAGGCTGCTCCGTGTGCTGTCACACCTTTTAAAAAGATCCAGAAGGGCTCTACAAGTCTTGCTCATATTGTGGGGGACATGAGGGAAGTGAAGGGAGGACTGAGGACAGGCAAAATTGCAAAGTGACCATTAGGAGGGCTAAGTTTCCAAAGCATATGAGCTTCAGGAGGGGACTGAGCATAGAGGACCATGGATCTGGAAGGATCTCACTGTCAGGAGGGACCTTGGTGCCAGGAGGGGACAGAGCCTCCAGAGGTGTCTTTGTGCTTGGAGGGCACTGGGCTTAGGTGGGCCTGAGTTTGTTAGTGGACGTGCCTTCCTCTGAAGTGAGGAGGCTGGGAGAACAACAGTGCTGAGCACTGGGTGTGTTCCAGAAAGACTGAGGAAAGTGACATGCAGGTCAGGATGGCCTGGGTGTCCCTTTGGTGCTAGTCCGAGGAGCTAGATATGGTATTTCTGGTTGTTGCTTTGGGGCTAATCAGTGAGGCTCCTTGAATAGGTCCCTTGATGTCCTGTCATCTCAGGGGTGCTAGTCCCTTACGCCTTTCTGAGCTTACTGATGGCAGATGCTGTGTGCGGAGCTCTAGCAGCGTGCACTGTGGTTGTGGTGGGGCCAGGCTCCTGCGCCCTATTTCCAGACCTGGCAAAATGGGCGTTTCTGGATGCTTGCCCAGTAGCCCTGGGAAAGCTGGGCAGGGAGGCTCAGGGAACGCTGTGCCTGGTGTGCAGCCCAGCCATGGCCATGAGGGTGATGGTACCCATGCTGTGTCTTCCCAGCAGACAGACTGGACTGAACCGTGGCTGGTGGGGCTCGCCATCTTCCACCTGCTCTGCCTGCTCCTGACCTGTGCCTCCTCCCAGAGCTATAGATTGCAGATCGGGCATTTCCTGTGCCTTGGTGAGTAGAATGCTCAGAAGCTCTGGCTGTGGTCCCCGTGAGCATGGAGCTGCCTGTGCAGCAGGAGAGTGTTTGCACAGGCCCCCCCAACCCTTCTACCCTTGGATCACTTTGAATTTTAAGGAACTCTTTGATTCTACTCTTGGAAACTATAAAGAAAAGTGATTGGGGGTACTAAATTTGGAAGGAATCTACTGAGTACCACCATGTACCAGAGAGGATGCTAAATACTGGTTATGTAGAAGAAGGTTTAGTTTACTGAATTGCTGTCTTTTGTAGGATGATTTCTTCCATGGGAGGAAAGAAAGCTGTGTGTCCAACAAGAATTGCTCAGTTGAGTTTTAAACATAAGAGCTCCTGGGTTTTAGAGAAGGAGCAGGGTTGCATAGAATGACTGAGAAAGATTACACAGAGGTAAAGGTGTGGTGCAGGGTGCAGGAGCATGTAAAATGTCCATACAGAAGACGGAGCAATTACCAGCCCCTGCCAGCCCAGGCAGGGCCGGGAGACCTCAGGGTATGTTCCTTGTGAGTGAGGCACCCCTGCTCTGCAGGGAAAGAGGGGTCACGAGTCAGAGTAACCTCAACGCCAGGCACCTGGAGTTCTGGCACTGAGCTCGGACAGAGACAGGTATCCTGGCTGAGGCTCTTCTTGACTTGGCGGACACCAGAAAGGCATGGGAGATTGTGCTTGGCAGGGATGGACACAACAGCTAATTTTAGTTGAGTTTAGTCAGCTGGCTGTGTGCAAGGCAGGAAATCTGAGCAAGAGATTCTTTTAGAAAGATGAAGTAATCAGCAAATAAGTCCTTTCAAGTAAGGGTTAACTTCCTCTAGGGCAGCCCCTTGTTAAGGGGGTGTGGGAACTTGAGGGGGACAGCAGACACAGCTTTTTAGTTGTGTACTGTGCCATGAGGTATAGCAGTATCAGTCATGGACCTAACCAAGCTGTTACCAGTGTGACGGGTGTCAGGACTGGGGATTCAGGAGCCGGTTGAGACAGGGCAAGGGGCCTGTTTCATGCGGTGACGGTGCCATTGAGGCTGAGAGTCAGAAGTGTAGGAGTGGGCAGGGAGAAGTCTGGCCAGAGGACTGCAGCTGAGGGGGTGGTGAGGTGAGAGGGAGGGTGGCCCTTTATAGGATGAAGAGTGGGAGGGAGGGGTGCCAGCCTTCACGCCTGGGTGATGAAGGACCCTGTTCTGCATGCTTTCACATTTCTCATGATGCACCTGCCTCACACCTGCCTCAGAGCCATCTTGACAAGTGCACACTGCCCTTCACTGAAGCCCCTACTGGGCACACTGGCCCCTACTCCGAGACTGGCCACGTTCAGCCCCTGCCTCCCTCCCAGGCCTTTCTCCTCCTTTTTCTTCCATTCTCTCTCTCCTGATTCTTTTTTGTGGCTTATTTGGTTTCTTCTTGAAGGAAGGAAGTCAGGAGGCTACTGACCCTGGTTTAATCTCTTCCTGATTTGGGTCAAGAAGAGTGAAAGGGTTTGTTCCTGTTACTTAACTGAGAAATGTATACAAGAAATTAAGGCCTCAGGTGTTAAAATTTGCCAAGTCACACTTTCTTCTGTTTTGTGCAGGCCAGTATATTATCAGCTGGGGTCACTCTCCCAGGTCTGAGTGATAGCATTGTCCATGAATGCGCTTCAGACTGTAGGCAGGTCCCTAAGGCCTGTGCTCCGGGGACCTTGGTGGGGCAGATGGGCTTGTGATGGTGCCACCTCCCCTGTTGCCGTTGCCCTTTCGCGTTGTTCTCTGTCCTGCCTTTGCCTCTGAAACCTCCAGGTGCTTTTGTATTTTCTGTGACGTCTCAATCATGGTCTCACCAGGGCAGCTGCAGAACTGTGAGATTGGACAGGGCTTGGGTGCTTAGTCTCCCGGCTCCTGGTGATCTGCTGCCTGGAGTCTGAGGAAAGGTGTCCACAGCTGGCTAAGCCCTCCACTGTGGGGCCAGGCCTGGTCCCAGCCATGCCCTGCAGCTGCCACCTGGGCCACCAAGGCCTTGGATATGTGTGGATCCTGGTTCCTTTCCTGCTGAGAGGATGTGTCCTGAACACACAGGGTCACGGAGTTCACCTCACACTGCATCTGAAACAGGAGTCACTCCTCATCAAGCTCATGGTGGTCTGTGATGCTGATACTGAATATTCTGTTGTAGAGATTGTGTGATCTCATTCTGCAGTGACTAAAAATGGCATCTGAAGTTTAACTCACGATTTCTGTCTTTTTTCAGTGATTTTGGTCTATTGTGCAGAATACATCAATGAGGCAGCTGCGATGAACTGGAGGTAACCCCAATTCCCATGCCCTTGGCTATGGTCAGGAGTTGCCCCTTGAGGTCTGGGGACCCATGGGGCCACCACACATGCCCGGGACTTGCCACACCTTGCATGGACAGTTTGAGGCTTTGAGAGTCTTTGTCAGCTGATGTAGGATGGGGCCCTCCTGCCTCGCAGGCAGCTGTCCAGGGCTGGCTGATGCAGTTGATAACACCATGAGGGAGAAGGTGATGGGGCACTTAAAGGACTTTTAGTTGCAGAATAAATGAGGTAGCATTTTAGGGAGTGCTTGGTACATGGTGGTTAGACCAGGCCGTGCTCTGGTCTGCTGCACAGATGCCCCTGCTCTTGAGTACCTCTGGTTGGATATCAAGGCAACCAACCGTCCCAGGAGGGCTCCAGAGTAGCCTGCACTGAGGTCCCTGTGGTCGGGACCCTACCCCCCTCACCCTGTCCCACTGAGCCTAGTCTCTCCTCTGGGGCCCCGCAGCTAGGCCCTTGTGTTCCCTCCCTGCTCCCTTTTCCTTCTCTGTCCCACAGAAGCATTGTCTGACCCCTGGCAGGGCTTACAGGCAGCCTCAGCACCCAGCCCTGTGTGAGCTAGACACAGCCACGCCGAGGCCCGCAGTGGCATCTGAAGGGGAAATGCTGGCTGGAGCCCCCCAGCATGTCCTCCTCCCTGGACTCTCCGTACTCAGCTGACAACAGCAGGGATACTCACGCTCATGCTCCCTCTGCACAGCCCCTGCTCTGGCCCTGGTGGATGTGGCTGCAGGTGTCTCCTCCTTTTTGTGTCATCACCCTGTCCCTCCTGGTTGTCCCCACAGCTGAGCCTCATGCCTGCCTCGTAGCTTAATATGACCAAACAGATGCCTGGTCCTCCCTTGGCTTCCTCCCTGGAGCCAGTTCTGCCTGGATTTGCAGCCACCTGTCACAGAATGCTCCTGACCTTGACCTGGTGACCTTTGTGTACCTGTCCAGTGATTCCTCCCAGTCCTCCATGTGCTTGAGCTTATTGGGAAGGAGACAGAGACGTCCCCCTCTCTGAAGCCTCCAGGGTGCTGCCCTGCCTGTAGCCAGCCACTCCTGCCTCCTGGCACCTTGGAGCTCTGGGTGCCGCTCCTGGCACTGTCTGCTGGGTTGTCTGAGGAGCACCTTAAAGTTAACACTTTCCATGCTGCCCTCTCTGCTCCCCCAAAGCACCTGCTCCATCTGTGATGGGAGCATCGCCTCCTGATTCTTAGGGCTGAGGCATTGCACATCATGTCCCTTTGTTCTCCTGGAGGTCCTGCCTGTCATTGTCCCTGTCAAAGGGTCCTGTCATTGTGATGTGGCCCCTCCAGTGTCCCTAGGTCACACCAGACTAAACCAGAGTCTCAGGTGATGCCTCCAGCCCTAGGAACCGACTCCCTGCCCCTACATAGCCTCCTTCCTCCCTACCCTGCCAAGAGTCAGTCACTGACCCTGCATTCCGGAAGGCAAGCACAGCAGAGCAGGGACTTGTCACTGCTGTGACCCAGTGCCTACCCAGTACTGAGTTGTCTGTCACACTTCTCGTGTGGCCGCTGAGGGAGTCAGACCTGCATGTGAACCCATCCCTGCTGGCAGCTGGCTCTCCCTTTGGGAAGTAGACATAATCTCCCTGTCCTAAGTTTCTCCTGGGACAAGGTGGTGGCACCTGATGGGGCTGAGCCAGTGAGGCCTCAGGCAGGTGGTGCCCAGCATAGGGCACTCACAGGAAGCACCCGCAGGGCATGAGGATGTCCCGGCATTAGCGTCTCACTGCTAATGTCACCTCCACTGTACCCAGGGTCCCATGCCTATGTTTGGAGAAGTCCTGAGGTCACTGTTGCTTTCACCAGTGTTGTCCTTGTCCCTTGACACAGTGTGTCTCCGCAGCAAGCATCACACTTTGGATGATGGCAGGCACTCTGAGAACAGGGCAGTGTGGCCGGGTAGTGCCCCCTTCACTGGCGATGGGTCTTGCCACAAGCTAAGTAGAGAATATCACTGAAAACTTCGTTGTTTTTCCAAGTAACATTTTGGTTTTTTCTCTTAAAATAGATTATTTTCAAAATACCAGTACTTTGACTCCAGAGGGATGTTCATTTCCATCGTGTTTTCAGGACCACTGCTGTTGAACGCCATGATCATCGTGGTATGTGCCCCCGAACCCCACTTCCCTGCCTATGCACCCCACTGCCCAATTGGGGTGCTCCTTTCTCATACACTGCCTCACACTTCTAGGTCATGTGGGTGCGAAAGACGCTTAGTGCGATGACAGACCTGAAGAGCCTGCAAGAGAGGAGGAGGCGGAGGAGGAGGAAGGAGGAGTGAGGGCTGCCCCTGTACTGTTGTCCCGTGTCCCAGTGCCCGGGGCCTGTGACCTTCTCAGCAGGCAACTCCAGCGTGAGAAACCGCCTCTCATCCCCACAGCTGGGCACGTAGAAGTCATCTATGGGATATGTGCTGAGCAGCGTCTTCAGTGCCGGGGTCTCTGGGTGGCTGTGGGAAGGGTCTCACGGAGCTTCACGACTTGGAGTTTGATGTGAAGGTGTCCTCATTGTTCATGAACTCATTACAGAGTGTGCAGTGAGTGTTGCGTCTGTGAAGCTGGGTGATAAACGGTGCCACCTCCCCAGGGCTCCTCCACTTGTCATTCTGGGCACTGCCGTGGGTCTCAGAGGAGACAGGGCAAAGCCAGGTGACATTTCAGGTTGTTGTGGGCAAGAGGTGCCCTTGCATCTGCTGGGGGGCCTGGGAGTGCTGCCACCACAGGCAGCACACAGGAAGCCCCTCGAGACCTATAAGGCAGCTTCTCAAAAAACACGACGTCTACTCAAAGTTAAGAGCCCCTTCACTGAATCACTGAAAGTACTTGGTTAAGAATATTAAAATAAAATGGAAGCCCATATAGTCAGGATTCTGTGGAGAAGAATATGTTGAATGAGCCTTTTGATTTTGCAGTGCAAAAGTGAATAATTTAGCTATTTCACCTAATGGATTTCTGTGGCAGATGTAAAGCTCAATTGTGGTCCTTCCTGAGCAGTGTGGCTCTTCAGCAGTTGGGGTGCTTAGGAGCAGGGCCCCTGCTGGAAGAGGTGCACAATGACTGACTCCGCTTATGAGTAGCCCACACCCAGGACGCTCTTGTTCCTGGCCGATCTGTAGCTTGAGAATGGCAGGTAGTTAGAGACCCAGTTTTTTAAAAATACAAAGTTATGAGGAAATGATACTGTGCATTGTGTCCAGTAACAGGCCTGATTGTGCCTTTCTGAAAAGCACCAATTCCAGATGTTTAATGTTTGGAGAGTTCACTATATCACAAGGTAGTTTTGCAGAAAGTGCAAGTGAACGTGTGGTGCAGCCTGGTGTGGAGTGTCCAGAACGCCTGGACTCAGCCGCCAGCTTTGTGTCCTGGTACAGGATGTGATGGGCACTTTGCGATTCAGCCTCCCCTGCACTGCTCTGTGTGCATGTGACTAAGGTAATGCAGCAGGAACTTGGGGCCTGTAGGTACTTTGTAAAGAAAGTGTGACACTTTCAGCCATGGTACACTACCTGGACTGTGCGTACGGAGCCATCTGAGTCTCAGTTTCCTGTGATAAAACTCAGGCCACTGGCTTTGCACAAACTTTATGTTCATGACCAGCACTGGTGTGTGTGTGGTAAGTGGGATGGGAAACAGTTATATTTTGTTTCATAAAAACAAACCATTGTTTTTAACTGTTCAGTATTCAGCGCCTTACATGGCAGTATTAACAAGTGCCTGAATGTTTCATCCTTGTTCTGGGGAAAGTCCCACACGCCCAAATCACTTGCAGACCACTGAGTGATGTGTCAGAGAGCAGGTGTCGTCTCACTCGGTGCTGTGTCCACGCTTGGTCAGGGGAGCATCACAGGAGGTCTTTTTACCTGCTCATGTAAAACAAATGTTTTTACTCTGTTTCTAGACAAAGAGGAAAGGAGAGTGATGACTAAGAAAATACTCTGTGCATTCCACATGCGTGACACCTCAAGTGTACCAACTGCTATGCAGTCAAATCTTTCCCTAATAGTGTATAGTATATTTTCCCCAAAATTGTGTATTCATCTTGCATCTTTCTGTAAGTACAGACAGTAGTGCCCTGGAGTGTCCTGCACCCTAGGGGGGTCCCTGCTTCATTTCAGTGCTCTGCAAGTTGGGAGGGTTGGCTGCGCCCTGGCCAGGAGGAGGTCAGCTCAGCATGGACTGTGTGAGTCAGAAGGGGAAGCGTGAAACTGGAGCCACAGTCTGTTAGAGTGGCAGGGGAGTGTTGACATGCTCTCTCTCTGCAAAAATCGATGTGGAAAGTAAAAAGCCGATGTGGTGAGCAGATGTTTAGCAGAGCTGCAGGCTGCTGGGGATGGGCATTGCCGGCCACCAAGCCCCCAGTCCTTGAAGGAGCTGCCCGGGTTCCTGTCTCCTCTCAGGCTGGTCTCCCCACGTGCAGAGCACACATCATGTGCAGCTGCCCGTCTGTGCGTCTGGAAATGGGGATGGTGAGGAGCCATGTAACGTGTTCTTGGTCAGGACAGCAGGATGCATTATCTGTGTGTCTATGGGGTAGATTTGCCCATGACCCTTCGTCATGAATGTGTGCTGGTTACACAGTGTGCTCTGATTTCAGGGGCATGAAGGGGTGTTGGGTCCACCTTCACAAAGACCACCAGCAAGACTCAGGACTGTGGGACTATAGGATATGGGCCACATGTAGGACATGCTGCCAGCAGAAGGCCCCAGGGCCCTGTGCTGGGGTATGTGGGGCAGTGCTGGTGTGAAGTGCCTGCCACCCACCTCTCCAGTGCTCGTGGGCAGTCCCTGAGCATCTGATTGTGGTCTGGGCAGCAGTTTGGAGAGTAAGTTGCTCTGTGTTGTGGGGCAAGTCATGCTGGGCTGGCCCCTGCGACTCAGGTACTAACATCAGAAGGAAATCTAAGAGAATTAAGGAAGGGGGAGCAGGGATCTAGGGGTCTCTGCACAGGGGCCAGCAGTGGGGATGCTGGGGGTGGGTGAGTTTGGGGGGCTGGGGAGGGAGGGATGACATAGCCCTTCCCGAGGGAATTGTGCAATTGGTTCGTGCTGCTTGGGATGGGAGTGGGGCTAAGCTGAGGGCTTGAGAGTCGATGGGATGGAGGTGGACACCGCAGCAGGTGCGGACTCTGCTTTGGGGTCTCACACAGGCTGAGGGAATGCCCAGGAGCAGAGCAGGAAGCTTCGTGTTGGTCTGTGTCTTCCTGTGAGAGGCATTAGGTGCTTGGGTGGAGACTCAGGAGGTCTGAGCTATCCAGATCAGCAAGGCAGCCTGGTTGTGACCAGAGGACAGTAAGCGCAGGTGGACATAGGGGCC